GGTCAGCGAAGAGAAAGGATACCGATGCCGATGCCCCTCCCTCCCCGCCACGGTTGGATTCGCCCCGGAGGAGTTGAGAGGAGGCCTCTTGGGAGAGGTCGGGGGAGCAGCGGTATGGGCATCTCTCTGTCCTTCCGAGAGGATGAGCAAGAAGATGGTCAGGCGCGGTGAAGTCCTGGTGGGCACTACCGAGCCACCTCCGGGCTCAGCGGTGCCGACGAGCGCCGAGGGCGCGCCACTGTCGCTTGCGGCTGGCGAAGCGCGCGCTGGGGAGCCAGGCTGCGAGCGGAAGCGGGACGTCGAGCAGGTGCAGGCGGAGGTGACGTGCTCCTTGTCAGTGCCGGCCTGCGATCTACTCCCCGAGACCCAGTGGCTCGACGGCAGGATTGGTGCGATCGAAGTGGGCACGGAGAGAAGAAGGGCGGAGGCCGACAGCAGTTTCTGTCCGCCTTGAGCAGGACTCGCTGCTGGCGTCGCCGCGGACCTTGTCCACTTAAAACAACAAGCTAGTCGCCCAACGGCGGACGCTGTCGACTTCTGGACAACGTTTGCTGTTTGCCACCGAGCATATGCTTGCTTGTACAGCCGGATCGAGGTATAAGATCGAGGTCGGCTCGGGGAGGGTACCCTAATGTTCTTCGTGCTTGCTGGATGCTCTTGTGCAACCTGGGGGGGCATCCTTGGATGTTCTGTGTGATTTGGCCAGCGGCGGGTCTCGTGTTCTTGAGGGATGCCCGAAGCCCTGCAAACGGGGCGTTAGTGAACGGGTCGGTAGTCAAGGGTGCGTTTTCAATTATGTTTTCGAAACATTAATTTGCCGCGCACAAGTGCCAGGTACCCCCCCGCCCAGAGTTATGATGACGTATCGACGTTTTGTCGTCCCGACTTATCACGCGCTAGTGCGAGGTCAACGCCCTGTCACCCCTTTCCCGCTTGAAGAGGCCCCTTATAGCTACCGCCCCATTTACTGACGCCCCGTTTGCGGGGGCTTGGGATGCTCTTCTGGCCCAGGTCCGACTGCACCCAGCTCGGTCGTGCCAGCACGAGGTTCGGCGAGGGCGGCGCGGTGGGCACGGTGGAGTTTTCTGCGCAGGGTCCGCGAGGGGCGCGCGCTGGGCCCGTCAGGTTGGCGACGGCGACGACGACGACGACGACGACGACGACGACGACGGCGACGACGACGACGACGACGACGACGACGGCGGCGACGACGACGACGACGACGGCGGCGACGACGACGGCGACGACGGCGACGACGATAAAGAAGGCGACGGCGACGACGGGCCGACGCCCTTCGAGGCCACGTGGCCCTGCGTGCAGGCGCCCGGCCGGGGTCCCCGGAGATCGGCCGGGCGGTCCGTGCGGGGCCTCCGCGCCCGTGCTGTCCGGGAGCTGACTGTCCCATGGCTCAACGGCACCGTAACGGGTACTTACTAACGGGTACTTTGAATGTTTGCCGAAAGTTGCCACTTTAGGGGCTTTTTCTTGCATTGCAGCTTTGCCCACATCGGGAAGGGTTGGGTTCGCTGGGTCTCTGGCCAAAGTACCCGTTAGTGGAGTCCCCGTTTGAGGGGCGCTGAATGGCGCCAACATCTAAACGTATCTATTTTTGAAACATATCCATTCGTATCTAATCTTCTGGACGAAAGCGCTGCAAAACACCTGTGAGTCAGGGAGGAATGTCAGATACCATGCGGCCCTTCCGAATGCAGCTGCAGTTGCCGCTGGGGAAATGAGCAACCAACATATATATTTTTAGATATGTCTTCCAGGGATCGCAGAGCGGACTTCGTCCGGAAGACGACGGGGTGGGCCCGGAGAGTCCTGGAGAATTTCGGTCGCGGATGGTTGCGAGCGGATTTTTTTTTGGATCAGGAGTGGAGACCGAACAAAAAAATCCACGCGAAGTGAAGTTCGTTTTTGGCCCGCGAAAAGAAATCCACGCAGAACTCCGCCGCAGCACGCCTGCAAGTCCGGTGCACTGATGGATGTCATCCCCTGGCTCTCTCCTGATCAGGACCGGGCCGAAACTCCGCTCCTGGGCCCCTGGGCCCCTGCCAGTTCAGGCACCGCCCCGGCGGTTTTGTTCAGGAGGGAAAGAAACACACAGACACAATTAATCGTCGATCCCCAGAAAATATGGGAAAATATGGGAAGTGGGGGGAAGACAAAAACCCAGAAAATATGGGAAAATATGGGGGATATTTTTATTTGTGTGTATTTATTTGTGTGTTCTGGGGCCCCTTTACTCGTGGCCAGACACCGCGACCAGGGGGGGGGGTCCGAAGGCCGAGAGACGTCAAGACGCCAGGAGCACAGCATGCGATGCTCCACACCACCAGTTCGGAGGAGGAAAAGGCACCAATGGAGCGCGTTTTTTTATTGCTTGGGGCATAATGGGCATTGTAGCCCCCGACCCCCCTCCCCCCCAAACAGCGTAACGCCCCTCCCCCCCCCAGTGCGCTCCGGGCACTGCCGCCGTGCGCATCGGGGACACGGCGGCGGGGAGGCGTTACATTATACCCCCTCCAGCCCCCTCCCCTCCCCCTATGATGCCAATTATCGCCGAAAATTACCCTGGCGACGTACCCAACCCTTGCGCAATGCGGGGCGCGAGTAGCCTGGGACACGTTATACAGAGGTGATGTGACGTGACATGGGCCCATATAATTCTGCGAGCGGCATTCGTAAGGCCCGCAGCCCCCCAGGGATGGCGAGGTCGGGCTCAGATCTGCGTGGTACCTCACTCCGCTGGACCCGCCAGCAGCCTTTCAAAGTGGCAACAGTTCCACAGATCGCAGCCCCCCCAGGACGGCGAGGTCCAGCTCAGATCTGCACCGTGCCTCACTCCGCTGGACCCACCAGCAGCCCGCGAAAGTGGCGACAGTTTCCCAGATCGCAGCCCTCCCAGGGGACGGCGAGGTCTCGCTCAGATCCACGCGGTGCCTCGCTCCGCTGGGCCTACCAGCAGCCCTCGAAAGTGGCGACGGGGACGGCGAGGTCTACCTCAGATCTGCGCGGTGCCTCACTCCGCTGGACCCACCAGCAGCCCTCGAAAGTGGCGACAGCTTCGCAGATCGCAGCCCCCCAGGGACGGCGAGGTCTACCTCAGATCTGCGCGGTGCCTCACTCAGTTTGACCCACCAGCAGCCCTCGAAAGTGGCGACAATTTCGCAGATCGCAGCCTCCTCCCAGGGGACGGCGAGGTCTCGCGGGAGACAGGAGGCAGGAGGCAGGAGGCGTTAGGAGGAGGAGGAGGAGGAGGAGGAGGAGGAGGAAGACGCGACCGTGGTGCTGCACTCAAAACGAATACCCAACCAAGGAGGGTTGGCAATAAAGAAGCACGCGCTGATGTCCGGCTGTGGTCCCTCGACTCGCGCGGCCCTCCCGTCAGTCGTGCGTTGCTCGAAGTGCCCCTGGCCCAAGGCGCCCCCAGGATTTCCAAGGAGGCCCCCGCGGCCTCCGGAGCACCCCCCCACGAAGCACGGAGAGCCCCAGAGGGGTCCAACAAGGAGCGAGAAGCTGGGGGCACCTTGGGCCAGGGGCACCGCCCCAGAGATCCAACGCATGGACAAGCATCAAAACGGAGGTTTTCCACAAACTTCGGCCTCCAGGGGCCCTCGCCATGATGAAAAGCCCGTCCTGGGGAATGGTCGGCGTCACCCCAACATACTTTATACTATATGTGCGTCGCCCCCCCAGGGGCGACGCGCGCGTCGTGGCGGGCGCTCTCTGGCCACACCGCTCGGGAAACGATCTACTACAAGATGGGTATACTGTATGTTCGGGTCGGACGCGCGCCTCCAAGGAGGACATATAGTATTACTATGTCTCTATGCGTCCCAAGTGGGTCGAGACTTCTGGGGACCGCGCATTGAAAAAACAAGTCGCGACGGCGGGTTGCATGCTGCCACGGCGCATTTTTTTTTGTGGTCAGTCCTCGGCGGCGCGCGGGGGGGTGGAGTGAGAAGGAGAAGGCCATCTCAGAAAGCGCTGGGCCTTCTCTCAGAAGTCCCCGCGCCTCCTGAGAAGTGTTCCCTCTCCTCGGGCAAGGCCCAGAAGACTTCTCAGAAGGCCGGGGGGGACTTCCAAGCCTTCCGAAAAGGCCTTCTCCTCCTTTTCCTTGTCCTCCTCCTCCTCCTCCTCCTCCTCCTCCTCCTCCCTCCTCCTCCTCCTCCTCCTCCTCCTCCTCCTCCTCATCATCATCATCATCATCATCATCATCATCATCATCATCATCATCGTCCTCCTCCCTGCTCCTCCTCCTCCTCCTCCTTTTTCTCCTCCTGCTCCTCCTCCTCCTCCTCCTCCTCCTCCTCCTGCTCCTCCTCTCCTCCTCCTCCTCCTCCTCCTCCTCTCCTTCTCCTCCTGCTCCTCCCATTTCTCCTCCTCTTCCTCCTCCTCCTCCTCCTCCTCCTCCTCCTCCTCCTCCTCCTCCTCCTCCTCCTCCTCCTCCTCCTCCTCCTCCTCCTCCTCCCCCGATGCTCGCCGCCGAAGTCCTCTCCCCACGCGCTGCACGGCATAGAGCCCTCCACCGAGAGGCGCTCTCTCGGCCTCGGCGCCATTGGGCCCGGCCCAGGAGCCGCGCGCGGCGGCGGAGTGACCGCTGCGGCCTCCGCGGGCCTAGCCGAGGTGCGGAGGCGATGCTCTCCTGCTCAGGGGGGGGGGGGGGAAGCAAAAGCACACAGGCACTAGGAGTCGTCGATTCCCCGTAAAGGCATGGGGAGAGATTGGAAGTGTGGGGGGGGAGGACGAAAGCCCATGCAGCATCGGAGAATATGTGGGGGGGGAAGCAACACACACACACACACACACACACACACACACACACAGACACCATGACAAAACACATACAGGCACAATGAAGAAGAAACAACGCCATTTTCAGAAACTCCATCAACACAGAAAAAAACGCCATAAACATCAACGCCACAAGCAGGTTTATGATGTTCCAACTTACTTTAGCTTTGACCACCCGAAAGAAGTTAGAGCACCAGGGAAGTACCGAAACTGGATGGTTTTCAATTGTCGGGCCCTGGGAGACACTCTTCCGACACTGTTTCGTCACTGTTTCGACACTCTTTCGACATTTTCCGGGTGCTCGAAATTACTTCTGGGATGTGGTCCTTAAGTACGATGGGGACAACATAAGCTCAGGGGGGAAGCAAAAACACACAGACACAATGAAACAAACACAGACACAATGAAGAAGAAACGGAAACGCCATAGACGTAAACTTTTGGCGCTCCGCGCGAATTTCTTGGATCCGCGCTGGGCCCCCCCGGCGGCGCCTCCGGCGCCGCCCCTGGCGCGCTCCGCGCGCCAGGGAGTGGGTCCAGCGCAGATCCAAGAAATCCGCGCGGAGCGCCAAAAGTTTATGTTTATGGCGTGTTTCCTTTCTCTAGAATCGTCGATTCCCCATGAAGACATGGGAAAATATTGGAAGTGGGGGGGAAGACGAAAGCCCATGAAGCATGGGAAAAGATCGGGAATCCTTGGATATATGCCTATGTATTTGTGTGTGTGTGCGTCCCTGGGCCCCTCTACTTGCGTGTCTCTGTCTCTGTGCTGCCTCTATGCTGCCTTCTACGGGCAGCGCAGCTTTTACGCAGTGCGCGCCAACCTGCCTTGCTCTCTCCATTTCCTCCTCCCCTCCGTCTGTTCTGCGATCCGATCCCGCTCCCCTGGATCCAGGCCTGGGGTGTTTGCCAAAGGCGGATGAAGGGCCACAGGGGCTTCCCCGGGGTGCCGTTTTTTTTCGCCAGCGTGGCCCTTCCTCCTCCTCCTCCTCCTCCTCCTCCTCCTCCTCCTTCTCCTCCTCCTCCTCCTCATCATCATCATCATCATCATCATCATCATCATCATCATCATCATCATCATCATCATCATCCGCCTCCTCCTCCTCCTCCTCATCCTCCTCCTCCTCATCCTCCTCCTCCTCCTCCTCCTGCTCCTCCTCCTCCTCCTAGTCGGCGTTGGAGGTTCAGGCACTTTGAGAACCGACGGAAAGAGGATGTTACTGAAACTCTCTCACACGACTACCGCCCAGCACTCGCACGGGCCAGAGAGGGAGCCAGGGGGGCATGGCAGATAGATGGCGGTTGCAGTGTTCTCGGTATGTGCATGTATGAAACTGGTATTTTACAACCCGTTGGCAGCGATTACTACGGACAGACTTGAAGAAATTAGCAATTCACTACGACAGTGGGATGTGATTGTGTTGCCAGGGACGCAGCAGTGGGCAGGGCCATGGCAGATGAGGAAGACGAATCATAGATACCATGTGGCACTGCAGATCGGGGCAAAGAAGGGGAACATGATGATCAAGTCATGCGGTACTACACTCCTGGTATCCAACAAAATGATGAAAGACAAGGCCTTCCACGCGCAGTGCACACCACCTGCGCAACTGCGAGGAAGAGCTGCAAGGGTTAGGCTGCGCACGAGAGCTTACGACGTCACAATCGTCGCGACGCACTTGCCGCCAGAGAGAAGATACGCAGATAATGAGATGTGTTTTGATGGTGGGTGGAAGAAAAGTGTGACGACACGGGTGGCAGATCTTTTTTTTTTTACAGCGGGAGTGGACGTCAACAGCCACTTGGGGAGGCGCAGGTCAGACAGCAGGGACCTGGTGGTAAGCAGACACAGCTCGGGCAAACATGCAGCAACATTTGGGACCAGTGGCCAAGGAGGTGGAGAACGACAGCGGCACCACTTTCAGGGAGTTGTTTGTCCACAGCCGGTTGTCAGTAGTCACGATGTTTCGATCGTGGGCCAACTTACTACTGCGCGAAAGACGAGAAGATGAGGACGAGCAAGATCGACCACGTAGCAAAACTGACGGGGGCTTTACCGCATACGCGGAGGTGCGCTGCATTGATAGGAGTGGCAACAAACATACATAATATCAAAGCGAGAGGACAGAGACCACATTTCATCCCTCTGGGTGTGGATTTTGCACTAGAACATGAATTCAATGTCTCGCGCAAGCACAGACAGCAAAGAGCAGACGAGGAGGTAGGCCGCAACATGCTGATGGAGTGGCCGAGGAAAGGACGCCTGAGAGCGGAATTCTCGGGCTCTTTCGACAGCCACTTGCATGCCGCTCTGCCACAACAGCCAAGAGGAGCATTAGCGGGGTCATCTCGGAGTGTGACCCAGGCGGATTCATCCGAACTCCTAGGAGATGCATAAGCGAGGTCATCTCGGAGTGCGACCCAGGAGGGGCCTGCCGAGCTCCCAGGAGAAGAATTAGCGAGGTGTTCTCGGAGCGCAACTCATGGGGGGGGCGAACGGAAGAGGAAGAATGGAGACAGTTTCAGGAGCGCCCCGCAGAGAACAGGACGTTGAAGACACGGGGATGAAGCGGGCAGGAATGCCACGAAATAAGTTTTCCCAATCGTGAAGAAGCAGGAGGACAAAGGGGTAGCTGGCTTCCAGTTACTGCGACATTCCCCACTGACAGAAAGGTTGAAGTTCAGAGTGGACATGGTCGAATCAGACACGCAGGAGAGACTGGGGGCAATCAAGGAGGAGCTGGTGCAGATGCAGAATGCGCCACGCAGACACAGGACAGACTTGGAAGTTGCAAGAAGAAAGAAGCTGGCATCATAAATGCGGAGGACATGCGAGAAGAATAATTTCAGCGAGATGCGCAGGCTCAGGGTGGAATATCAGAGGAATGGGAGAGGGCCGAAGAAGAGGTGCGATTTCTCAGCTCGAACATGGCAGAGCACGGAGGAATGGCTAAAAGAACTGGGACAGCACCCCACGAGAAGGAGCGCGACGAGATAATCGCCGAGGAAATGCCACCCCGTCCAACGGACATGGACCCGGAAGCCCAAGTTGATAAGGGGCAATAGAAACATCCCGAAGTCTTGCAAGAAAGCGGCAAAGGGAGGGCTTCCCCCCACGCGGGGTGCCCGTGGAATTGACATGGGCGATTCTGGAACCCACGGTCAACCTGGAGGGCCCCGAGCAATTGAGCAAGATGCTGGGGGGGGGCAGAAAGCACGAGCAGCGGAGAAGCAAGAGGGCGAGGAGGATTTGGATAAGCATAGCTCACATTACAAGTGCAGGGCGGGCAGGTCGACCTCGCAGAGAAATGGGCGGGATATCCGGGAGGGCGCTGGGCAGGACAAATAGAGGTGATGACGGAGAAGCGCCGCGGGCGGCAGAAGAAAAAACGCACCGCCTGGGGGGGCGCGAGAAAGCTGGGCTGGGATCGCCAGCGCCGGGGCAAGGCGCGGGCATGGAGCGCAGGGACAAGTTGGAGGACATCCTTGTTGAGCGTCGCCAATCTCAAGCTGCACCGTTGGATTGGCGCAGGTTTATTTCTTTCTCAGCAGGGAAAGGCGATCAAATAAGGGGCGGGGGGGGGGGGGGGGGAAGAGCTACGCGCGCACATTGCCGAATGGGAATGCCGCTTCACAAAGGGATCCATCACAGTGGAAAAAAGCACCAGCGCACCCACGCCGGGCACAGGGGGGGCTCAGCAATATATCGATGGGGGAACGCGGTCGTCTGCGCCGAAGCCGCGCAACGGAGAGCAAGACAGGCAGGTGCGAGCACCATTGTCCTGCAACTGCGACTGCACCAATACCTTCGCGAGCGCGAAACGCAACCTCCTGCTGGTTGCAGTCTTCGCCGCGTCGAATGTGGAAGGCCAACCTTTCGCTATCGAGGCGCTACGCCACGCGTCAATGAGGATGGAATGCGCGGACGACTGGCTGAACGCATGGACTGCGCGGGGCGCGCAGATGGGGAATATTTTTTGCCCGCGGCAATTCAATGATACAGGCGACCTACGCCTGGGGCAATGGCCGCAGGAAGAGAGGGATAGGGACGAGATGCAGACAGCGCACGACGCGGTGGGCCCCGTCAATGGCCAGGAGCACGATATCTCGCTCAACGCGGTCATGGGCGACATCACCAAGATCCACGCAATGGCTTCGTCGGGGCCGCCCACGCAGGCGACTGGAGTTAGCGAGGCAATCTCGGAGCACCAGTCGGCTCTTGGCAACAGCGAGGATACCTCGGCTCGCCAGGGGGCACAGCGCCAGTCGGCCTCTGGCGAAAGCGGCGATATCTCGGGCCGCCCCAGAGCCCAAGCGAGAAGGAAACTGGAGCAGATCAGCGCCACCACGCAGCGCCTCGAGAGCAAGCTGGAGAGAGGAGGGCGGAGCTTGAACCCAGCCAGAACCAACAACTTGGTATTCCTTCGGGGCCCAGGGCGAAACGGGACCACGCGACTGCTAGAAAGGGAGAAGAAGATCAAGGGCACGCCGATGAGGGAGATGAGAGCACCGGGCGCGCGCCTACCAGGGGACCAAGACTACGCGGGAGAGATCAGGAGGCTATGTGAGGCCATGCAGATAGCTTACAGACAATGCGGATGCTTCTGATTTTCTGATACAGCCGATAAGATAAAGAAGGACATGTTCCAGGTGTTTGTTTCGGGAGCAGGCCCGAGCGGATTGACGGCGCGTGTACTTGAGGAACGACACTTGAAACCGCTCGACAGTTACTTGGAATGGCAGGAGACAGTCTGAGCTGGACAGAAGATGATGGCGCGACCAGGAGGTGTTCAGGGGATGGGGGAGGCGCCGAGGAGACCCCGCGGCGCTGCTCAACGGCGCTGAGGACCCGCAGGCTGCGATGTTGTAGGCAATGGGCGACGCATCCCCAGGACTTTGGCAGCGCGCTGGCAGCCAGCAGTTTATTTTTTTACGCGTCGAAGCGGGGCCGCCCCTGCGAAGCCTGGAGATTGGAAACTGTGAGAGCATGCGAAGCATCTACACCCCGGGCAAAGCAGGTGGTCAGGGATTGCCTGGCACTGGCGGAGGTCAGCGAGGACGTCGCAAGCTGGTGCACGCGGGCGCACCCAGGTATCTCCATGTTCCAGGCAGGCACGAGAGATTGGGGAGCCTGGATAGGGGCGGACCCCTGTATTCTACGCCATGCAGGACAAGCCTGGGATGCAAAGCCACCAGAAAGCACGGTGGGAGGTCAACTGGTCGCTCAGTTGTGGTGTGACAGGGGAAAATGGGCTGAAGGACAGGCGCGCGGAGCGCAATTCACTGCGGCGGCGGCGGCGCTGGCAGCGCACAGGAGGGTGGTGCACTACTGCCTTCCGCTGATTCCCAGCTGGGTGATAACGGGTCAATGCCCATGGCGTTTGAGCTCTTTCGCGTCAAAAAACGACCGACCATGTCATGGGGGCCGCGGGGGGCCACGGGATCTGCTACAAAAACAGAAGTTGTTAGGACCACCCAGTCCACGAGCCTCCTCCCCTAGTCTGTCTGCACCATCCTAGTCAGGCTCAATATTTGGAAAATTTTCAGGTGCGCGCACGCTGCCACCATCCTGGACCGTGCTGCGTGAGAGATGGCGATTGCGCCGCGGAGACTGCCCCGGCCCAAAAGAAGACAAAGCGTGGAGATGGAAGGAGAACTGGAGCACCACGAGGGCGGCAAGGGAAAAAGGCAAAGCCCACAGAAGGGGCCAGCGCCAAGGCGGCGGGCAGCCCGCCAGCGGCCGCGGCCGCGGCGACGGGAGGGGGCGGCAAGGAGTTCGAATCCAGAAATTGCATCATCGGGCTCCAGCGACTGGCCCCCCGCTCGGCAGCAGAGATCAGGGAGATGAGCCACGTGACAGCAGACATCTTCCTCTTACCAGTCAGCAATTGGGCGTTTCGGGAGTCGTTGGCAGCGGGGCAGAACTACGAGGACCAGGCCAGGGAGCGGGGCAAGGGGCGCAAGTTGGGACCACCAGGCATGCGCACGGGGATGGCGCTCATGGAGGGCATCCAGGAGATGGCGTCGGAGTGGCAGAACACAAATCCAAACGCTATGGCGGCATCCATAGATCGGGCAATGGACGCCCTGAACGACATGCTGAAGCTGGTGGAGGACAACGGCGAGCGCAGCCGGGCCATGGTCACAGAGACGATTCACATCAGCGAGAGCAACAAGGCGCGCAACAACAGGAACAGGAACCATAACGAGGACGAGCAGGAGTTCTGGGGGGAGGGCCAGGCAGGACCCAGATCGGCATCAACGAGTCCACCATCTTCAGGGCAGTGCCCCCGAAGGACAGCAAGGAAGAAACCATGGCGAAGCTGGGCCAGTTTGCGGGCCGCAACCCGAGGATGGCAGTGGGGATGCTGATCGTCTACGCGGGAGGCAAGCAGTCCCAGTCGACAGCGCCCAAGTCGGAGCTGGAGAGGATGGCGGAGCGGGAACTGCAGCGTCGGCGCCGCTGAGGACGGAAGGGGCCGTTGCATGAGCGAGGTTATCTCGGAGTGCACAGACCCCAGGGCAGAGTGCCAGGCCGCTGCTGTCGCGGACAAGCACTTTCATTGCACCTCCGACGGCGTCAGCATCATGCACTGAGGGTGCCGCCCTAGGGCCCCCCCCCCTCCCCGGGGCAGTTGGGCGCATCTGGCGCGCTCCACAGCGCGCAGGCGAAGGGGGTGATATATCTTTCACATGATGAGAGCATAGCGGAGTCAATCAGCATGGGCGTTGAACGCCTGACTAAACTTAGACGTTTTGCCCCGGATGGTCGGATGCACGAAATGGCCTTAAAGTTTCAAGCAGAACGGGGAGCGGAGTTGCAGAAACACGTCTTGGGGAAAGGCCTCTCTGGCAACAACCAGCCCACCCGTCCCTGTCAGTAACCGACACCATCTACCATGACGACACGATGTTGTTCTTCTTCCCTCTATCCATTGCAGATGCGGAGGGATTGTGGGCGGGGCTTTTTGCGCGCAGCACAGCAGATGCACAATGCAGAGACGGGCCACGGCCAGCGGGGGAAATTGGACCTGCATACAAGGCACTAAACGAGTATACAGGCAGATGGGAAATCCGCTGCCACTTCCATCGACCACACCCGGATCCCACAGCTGATTTGGCTCCACGACGGCCCAGGTGCGCAGTGTAGCGCACTAGCGAGGTTTCTCGGAGTGCGCGACACGGGAGGCCACCAATGGCCTGCACGGGCAGCAGCCAGCCATGGCCTTGCGGGCGTTGCAACAAGGGGTTCGGGCATTGAAAGATGATCGAGAGCCACAGGGAGCACGCAAGAAATGAACCTGGTCATGAAGACGATCACGGAGGCAAAGGCAGCCAATGGAGGAGAGCGCATCGACTGCGAGCTGGAGCTGAGGCAGGAGGGGCGGGGCGAATGGAGCGATGAAGAAAAGGCGCTACATCGAGGAGAGCAGTACATTTGGAGAGAGCAGGTCTGCCGAGAACAGAAGAGGAAAGCAAAAGGAGCCGCGTGGGCAGCCCAATCCTTGGGACAGATCAGAGCAGCGCAAGCGCCCCCTGCGGAAGAAGAAGGCTCAAAGGAAAAGCCCCCGCATGCAAGGAACGAGCTGACCCTGGCGAAGCCCAGGGAGATGGCAAAGGCACTGCTGGAGGGCATCGAAAAAAAGCAGCTTTGCAGAATTAGCAAAGCAGGAGACAGCTTGACAGAGGCTTCACGATGCGCCGAGGAATTTCGACCTCCTGCTCAACTAGCACATGGCCGTGGGCATCAATGACGAAGATGCACTGAAGGCAGCAAAAAAAAAAAGGCCGGAGGAGAAGGAGAAAGAGCAATGCGAGATGGGCAACTACAAGACGGCGAAGAACATGCGGGGACAATGGTCGGCGCACCTCAAGGCGTTGGCCTCCGTGGACAAGTGGAGCGACAACGCGCAGCTGTTCAACGCATGCAGGAGGAACGCAGGATGGGGCGAGAAGAAGCGCGCAGCCTGCTCGCGCGGGCGCGCCTTCCCAAACAAGTTGCGGCGGAAAGGCTCGGCCCCAAATCGAAAGGGGCAAGTGGCAGTTCTGGCGCGACGTGGACTGGTCGCAGCTCGTCAAGGCGCAGGAGACCCACCCAGAAGATGAGTTCATGAAAGAGTGGGTGGACAAGATGAAGGGCGAGCTCGGCGCTGACTGGGAGGGGTGGCCAGACATCGGGTGCAAATCGAAGTTCCTCCCTTTGAAGAGTGGGCCGTCAATGGCGGTGGAGCTCAAGGTGGGAAATGGCTGGGAAGCGCTCGCGTCGGAAGGGCCGCCGCAGCAGCTAGACGACGCCATCAAGGAGCGCCGCTGCAAGTTCTACGACGCCGCCCAGAAAATGAGCCCAGAGAAGTTGTTCGAGCTGGTCCCCGCGTCCTCCCCTATGACGCACATGGTTAAAAGGTCGCGGCCCCATCGCCAGGTATCCAGTGGACGCGTGGGCAATGGCAGGGAGGAAGGCCTCCACTGTGCAAAGCTGGTGTGAGTCGGCGCTGGAGGCTGCAAAGAATGACGAAGAGAACCCCCGCAAAGCCGCCGTGAAGGAGCTGAGTAACGAGGGCAATCTCGACCCAGAGGAAGTGAACAAAAAACACAACTGGTGCCAGAAGCTATGAGACAGCACGCAGACCCTGCTGGAGGGCACCGAGATCTTCGAGGAGCAGTTCGCCAATCCTAAGACGGAGGAGGCGACGGCGGCCAGCTCCTCCAGCGGCCACCAGTGAGGGCACCCAGTTGAGCCCACTGGAAAGCCAAGAGGTACATTCGCGAGGTTTTTCTCGGAGCGCTACTCTGGGTAAGCTGGACGAGTCAACTGGCAAAGCCAAGATATGCATTAGCGATGTCATCTCGGAGTGCGACTCTAGGCAAACAGGACGGGCAAGCACATGCTGTTGGCACTGCCATCGCCATGGGAAGTGATTTCTTGGAGCGCCGACATGCACATTCCTGCAGGGTGATGAAGAGGGAAAAAAGTGATCATCACGAAGGCCACCAGAGTGCATCCGCGATGGCCCACCTACAACAAACCGTGACTACCAGTATGCTCTACCCCACAAACACTTCGAGGTGGAATCGTGGGATACTTCAACAGGGCATCAGAGTACAGATGCGACAATGCATGGGACAACTACCGGCCAGTTCGATGTGGAAGAAAAGTGGGCCGAGCGAGAGAGGAGAGAACATGATGTAATAAAACCAGTAGGGTAATCAGGCCCCCCCCAGCAAAAGTTTAAGATGCACGGGCCTCCCGCCCCTCCGGCCCTCCTCCTTTTGAGTTGTCGTGTCGTCGTTTCCTCCCCCCTAGCTTGGGCGCGCTGCTAAGCCCGCGAGTTCCCACCACCTGGGCACGCGGAAGGACCAGCAGCTGCTCCCCCCGCACTGACCCGCACGGACTCGAAATCGTAGGGTAGCGAGCCTCTCTTACGTGGCCACCTCAGAGCTCACTCCTTGAGCAGCGGGGTATGCCCCTTCCGGCCCTAGTGAGAAGCCAGGGCCGTTGCACAACCAATCGCAGGAGATGTTGCCAGGAGCGCGCAAGGCACCAGCGTAGGTGTTTTGATGTTGAACCCCTTTTATGCGGATGTCCTGTCGTGTCCTCCTCCTCCTCGTCCTCGTCGGCGTCCTCCTCCTTTTCCTCCTCCTCCTCCTCCTCCTCCTCCTCCTCCTCCTCCTCCTCCTCCTCCTCCTTGGTCGTTGACCTTCGAGAAATCCGCGAGAAATCCTCGTCCTCCTCCTCCTCCTACTCCTCCTCCTCCTCATCCTCCTCCTCCTCTTCCTGCTCCTCCTGCTCCTGCTCCTCTTCCTCCTCGTCCTCGCCCTCCTCCTCCTCTTCCTGCTCCTCTTCCTCCTCCTTTTCCTCCTCCTCCTTCTCCTCCTCCTCCGCCTCCTCCTCCTCCTCCTCCTCCTCCTCCTCCTCCTCCTCCTCCTCCCCCCTCCTCCTCCTTCCCCTCCTCCTCCTCCCCCTCTCCCTCCTGCAAGTGCTGCTCTGTCCAGACGCCTCCTGCAGGCGAGGCGTGCCTGCTGGCCGACCCGGCCCGCGGTGGCCAGCCTTCGGCCCCGCGGGGCGTCGGGCTGAGGCCCCGTTCCCCTGGCGCGCACGGCGCCCACAAGTTCGGATGCAACTCCTGGGAGGTCAAATTTTGATTCTGCCCTGGTCCGAAATCCGGCTCAAGCCAGCTCAATCCCGCTTACTCCGGCTCAA